TCATTCATTTAGAATATGTTGAGACGTTCCACTCGTCCCGTGGCGGAACCTGCATAAGTAAGAATCGGCGATGCCCATATAGGCGCCCTCTTGCAAATACTTATAATAATACTAATAATAATAATGATAATAATAGTAATCTTGATAATAATTACACTAAGTCACAGATCAAGTTCCAGCCTGTTTTTGAAAATGTGCCATTATTTCACCTGTCTCACTGGAAACATACTATTTTTATTCTTGACTCTTTACAACAATGCAGTTTACGAGTTATCTCGTTTAAGCGAACTTTGAATAAAATATGGTTTGCGCAAAAAAAATCCCGAAATTCTTAAACATCTTGGTTGTAAACTGGTGCTATCTAAAAGCCCTCAGGTTCATAAGGACATTGTGTATTACTTCTACGAAACAAAAGTTCCACTAAGGCACGCTAGTAAATACGAGATATGCAATCAAGCCAAAAAGCTAGTGCGAGATGAAACAATTAGTATCGTGATTGTTCTATGTGAAGGTGATGCTCGGGTCTGTGTAGGAAAACATCAGCAGTACGGCCTACTATTGGTTTTCAAGAGTACGATCTAACAAGCGCTTCTTTTCTTTACCTTAGGAAAAACCAACAGTACTGCCTGGCTGTGTGCAGCAGGAGTATACTCTCTAAGCAACGCTCTTCTTTTTATTACGATATCCGAAAGGAAAAAAAAACAAACAGTTCTTTTGTGAATAGTTTCAAAATATCTTTTATGCTTTTGTTCTTTTAGAAAGATATGGAAAATGTGTAGCTGGCGATGGATGATACTTTGAATGAAATCTTTTTAATCCCATGCTACTGAAATTTTCTTTTATGCAAAAGTAGAAAGAATTACTTGTACAAGTAACATGCGACTTTGTGAGCTCGCCGATAGATGACAGAAAATAATATAATAATAAATTGTTCCCGAAACTAATATTGATCGCAAATAAGGCTTGCGGTTTTAAAGTTTATTCAAATAGAGGTCGAGAAATAAATATCCACCTATTGACATTATTGACATTATTCTGTGAATGTCTCAGCGAAACGCAACTTTCACATTTACATGTACGAGTAAGGAACTTTGAATGTATTCAACAATCCATTTCCCCCGTGTACATACACAATCACGTTCACACTTCTCAAAATCAATTTTTATATTGCAACACAACTGATGGATATCGTATTAGGGCGCATCTATATAAACGAAATGTTTGTTGCTGTACGCCTGTATAATGAATGTGTGCATAAAAACACAAATCAAAATATATAAAAACTACATACCTACTATATACTATATATGTTTAGTTGTTCTAATAAATTGGCTGCATGCAAATAAAATACTTGCGATTGCAAGCATAACATTCGTACGATGCATGTATGGAAGCTTTTTGTGCGCCGCTTATTCTTGCTTGAATACTTAATAGTTGGAAAAAAGAAGAAAACTAAGAGAAAAAAAAAAGAAAAAAAAATTTTTACAGCTCGATACCATACACTCGTAAAAATTTACATATGATGCTTGCCGTCACTCAAGAGTGTCAACTAAACACACTAATGTCACGTTTGATCCATCTTCTGAAAATATTTAAAAGTTATTAATTTCATTTGTATGCATAAACACATTGAAATGTATGCATATTTGCAGACATGCACACGCACACGCACATATATGCATAAGTGTGGTAGTGCATATAAGTATTTTATTTATTGCTCTAATACGTTTCTCTTTTTGCAAAATATAACGTTCATGAGGTGATGCATATGGCAGTCGTCGCAGTCGTCGCATCCCTCAAATGAGATGTAAGAAAAAGAGCAAGAAGAAGAAGAAGAAAATCATAACGTTTATTTGACATTTAATTAACATAATTTTGCTTTTTATTATTACAAATCTCACGATCTGCGCTCTTCTGTATGTTTTAAATCGCGAAAGCGACTGAAAGTTCTTTCAAAGCAACGATTCGTTCCAATGTTGATCATGTCATTAACAATCAACGTAACGTTGATGGTTCTTCAAATACTAAGGGAATATCCGCGATTGTATATCGTCCCGACAGTATGAATTTTTCTCGGTTGCTTGATTACAAAATTTTCCGCTAGAGGACACGCACAGTCTTACAGTGACTAATAAAATTTTAATACACAAATTCTTCTTGATTTTCAGTTTAGAGATCTTTCAATGGTTTTTTTTTTCAATTTTAATTGCAATTAGTTTTCGCAAAAAGCAATTGAATCGACATGAAATAAGAAACGGGGAAGAAAATGGTTTTGGAATGATTTTCAATACATTATCCATAACTAAGTCCTATTTTGTTTCTTTTTTTCTTAAGTATATCGAAAGAAACAAAAAGTCAACTTTTAAGATCAATCATGATCATCCTCTGGTATTGTAATAAGAATAAAAGCAGGGCCTTCACAAGCTATAAGTCTACGAAGCAATGATTGGTAAATGTAGAGTGTTCGTGGTTGGTAGTGTATTCTCCTTGAGTCTTTCGGTGCGTTTGGCTTATTTTTTTTGATTACAGGACTTGACTCATTGCCAAAAACTGCGTTATGTGTACTTTGCTTAAACATTGGTCACTGCTGAAAGTGTAAGCGTAATCCACCTTAATAGGCGAGTTGGCAAGAACTGCGACAATGGTTTAAATCTTATTCGTGGCAAAGTTTTCTTTAGTCGTAGGTATAATGGGCCCACTAGACTGTATTCACAACCTCCTCTCATTCCTCTCTTCACTCAGACATCCTGTTACATGCACAGGGGACATTGCCTAAGTGATTAGTCATGTCAGACAGAAAAATACAGTACTTTAACGTAGAGTAGTTATAGTTTACCAAATCTTCGCAGACACCGCGTCAACAACTTGCTCATGCACTTAGCATTCCCAAAATAATATTTATTATGCATTTTCCTTGAAAAATCAAATTAGATGTGAGCTAAAAACGGATAGATATGCTTATATCGTTTCAGAAAATGTTAATAAATGATGAATCGATCACAAGTCTTTCTGGATATTGCACATATCCGCGCAAACCTTATAGGCCCTTGCATCCCATGTTATGTAGACTACAAACATATATATCAATTACGTACACCTTTTAGGGAAAAGAACTGATAATCGCAGTTGCTAGTGCTCGTCCTGCTTTCTAGTCTTAAAATTTATTTCTCTGACTAAAATAATTATAATAATAATAATATTATTATCTAACTACTAGCATATCTAAGCCTACTAGCATATCTAAGCCTTACTCAAAACTCTACCGCACCTGAGATTTGAAACCGCTACCACTGAGTTCTTAGTCGAGATTCTTTGCCCACTTGGACGCTTAGGTAAATAATGATAATACTAACAATATATCGGTCGGAAAATCACTTGAACTGGATAGGAGAAAAACAGTTTCTCTTTTGGAAAATTCATTTTCATTCATCATCAAGAATGGCGCAATCAGTTCAACGCTTCTCTGACGTTTTGATGCCTTTCTTACCGGATAATTTATCGGATTTCCTAAAATAAATTAAAATTTCCGGAATAATCCTGTCATTTGATCTGAATCATTTTCCCTGAAGCATCCATTTTATGATTTGGAAACACAGGATTTTAGCTGGATTCCACTTCTGGAGTATACTATGCGAGGAGTAGCCATTCGAACTACAGCTCATTCAATTTTATTGGCCCTCCGGATGAGTAAGGGGTTGATGTGTTTGCTCCGCTACGAGCGGTGCTCATTTAAAAAAACTACAACAACAAACGCCCTCTGCCTTCTAATATTTATGGGGTATTAAATATTTCTTCCAACTTCACTTTTTAATTGTCGGGAATAATTTATAGAATTTTTCTTATGTTTTCATATGTAATCACATCTTTTCCGATTGTAACCACTTGTTTTAGGCCTCCACCAAACCACCGGTAAATTGTTGTTTTCAACGAAATATGGCTGCCATGGGAATTTTCAAGTTAATGCTAAGTTTAAAATCTATTTTTCCCCATTAAAAGTCAAGGCACGATATTGGGATTTTTTTCCACTGTTTCGGATAAACAAATATAGCATTACGAAGACTCTCGCAAATCGCAAGAAATAATCAAAATAATATGAAATTTTGCCACATGTCGTTTGATTGTGGGCGTTTTAGAGAATAAGGTGGTGGACTTTTTGCCAGAAATAGCATCGATATGTAAGTCACAGGAACTCTATGATTGGCGTAGATAGATATCTCATTGCTTTCGAAATGCATCTGCAGGCCTCGCTTAATAAGTTTCATATTTGAAGGGCGATGAACAAATCTATTTGGCACTTCACATTTTGATGGCAGATTATATAAACACTTTGTTAGATCCCAGGTTAGGGAAAACGTAATACAACTAATTTATATTTAAGTGGACAAAGTGGACATATACATATATATATCTTATGGCGATTGTAGGGGTAAAATAAAATTGAATTAAATATTCTTTTTAATGCATAAAATGGGGTTATGTTGATGTGTTTACTTTGTTAATTTAATAAACAGTTGATAACTTTTCAATTTTAATTGCATTAATTGTCTGTCAATTTTTTAAAGCTACTGTGTATATACGTACGAAATGCATATATACTTGGCCTTTTTTTTCATTTTTTTTTTTTTTTTTTTTAATCTAAAAAAACAATATTTAATGCATTTATAAATAAATTTTATGACCAGTCATAACATCCACATGAATTCAAATGACGCCTCAAGACAAACATAAGCAATGAAAAGCGAAACGTTCGCTAAACGTTAATGATGTTTATGACAATCAAAAAACATAAAAAGTATAAAAAAAAAAAAAATAAATAAAAACACAAAAAGGAATTTTTAAATAATAAAGTAATTAAAACAAAATGAAATGGGATGCGTGAGACGTAAAAAAAAAAACAAAAAACTAGTAGGAATAGTTTGGCTGGGGAAACAACATAATTTTCGTAAGAAATGCAAAAAAAAAAAAAGAAAACAAAAAATATTAAATTCATAAACACTTACCCTGTTTTTGCATAAATGAAAATAAATCATCGAGGAATTCTTTGCGTTTGGGATCATCATTGATTTCATAAAGCTAAAATGATAAAAACAAGTGTAAAAATTAATTATTGTGATTTTGATATTTTTTTTTTTTCTTGATTCAAGTAATAATAATTTTATAATCTTCCAGTTCACCTTGTATTGTTGCAAAATTCATGTTTATAGAGCTACATGTTAATCGCTTTACGATTAACAACAATGGCACTCTATAAACACTTTATAAATATTTTGACACTTCAGATAAACCCCCGTATACTCTGATAGCCAATAGTAAGTAGTAAACCTAAGGGTAAGCAAGCAAGCAAGCAGACACAATGAAACTATTGTAAATAAAATTGATATTAACCCTCGAGTGTCAGCATGCGCCACAGGTTATACAATTGAGAGATAAATGAACTGATCATAGATGCACTCTCATCCACTGAACAAATGAATCTCGAAAACAAAACGAAAAAAAAAAATAAATAAAAAACAAACAAAAGGTAAAAAAAAAAAAAAAAAAAAAACCCGCCGAGAAACGGTTCACAATGAGCCCTAATAATCATAATAATAAGATCTCTATATCAGATTTTGCCACCACAGAAGCGCAGTGTTTTATTACTTTAACATATTTTCTCTTCCTGCCGACTAATAGAGTTTGGTTTGTTTGACGACAATGAATAAGTCGAAAATTTCGTATCATTCATTCATTCATTCATTCATCGTTTTTTTTTTTGTTTGTCTGCATTGCACGTTAGCATTATATACAGGTATAAATATATATATATAAATTTTCCATATATAAACTAATTGTTCGAAGAACAAAAGGCCTAAAAAGAAGAGAGTTGAGAAAAAAAAAAAAAAAAGAATTAAGCAGATTATAAAGAGATACACGTTTGCTAAGTTTATGCATAACGTCAGGGGGGGTTACGCTATATGTTCTGTCAATATTTATGTAATAAAAATAATTTTTATTAATATTTTTGCACAAGAGTTCTTTCATCCTTTGCATGCATTCTTCTCGCATTCTCTAATCAAATCATGTTAAACAGTTTCTAACTGTGGAGGAAGGCAAGAATTTGATCAAGAAAACAATAGTAATTTGTTGCCGACGGTATTGTCACTACCAACGGTCACAGTGTATCTTTTCAATAACATGATTAGTTACTCGACAAACAGTGGCTTTCGATTATTTAGAACATTTTGACTCACAAAAACTTTCAGGATGCATGAGCTCAGTTAAGTCTATTTAGGGAGATAGAAAGTGTTTCAATACGTAAGCGATAGATAATCGGGTATCGGAAATACAAATGCAAGATAGCGGGAGGCACAGAGAGAGCGCCAACGCAAATTGATTATCTTCTCAATAACTTGATTAGTCGTTCGACAAACATTGGCTTTTCATTCTTTGCAACATTGGCTTTTCATTCTTTTCAATCACAAATACTTTCAAGATGCCTGAGCTTGGCTTCCACTGTTTACAGCGTTAGAAAGTGTTTTAAAACGCAAGCAACGAACGATCTGGTCGCACTGGTAAAAGCAATACAGGTCGTTAACGAAGGCTTCTCAGGGACCTTGTGACCGAAATTAATGGCCCCGAAGGCGCGAATTCAAGTCCAACGTTATGCGCAGATGCTCGTGTTTATTGACATAAAGGCAGGATTAGAAACTTATCTAAAAGCAAACGGGTCTTGAACAAGGTCAATCTGTTTAAACTCTTTAACATTTCGTCGTCTTTTTTTATCTGACAACCCAAATTTGCACACAAATCAAACACTCAAACAGATGACAAAGGTTGGTTCTCCATGTTATGCGCAAGAAGTACATATTCTTTTAAGCTTGATAATCGTACTTACCGGCACCGAAGAACTTACTCTGACACTCGAGTTCTTGCAGTGCAAGTTTCCACTGAATCTTTCCTCCTACGTTGAGATTAGAAATTATTAATAGTAGTAGACAGGACGTGTCCCAGCAAGGACGGAACAATTTCTGTTGGCACATCATACAAACATTTGCGACCGCGTACCGCTTACCGAGCTTTAATTTCTTAGATTATTACGCGACAGGGAAGATCAGTCAACATCTTCGCAATATTGCTGAAGACTATACTTGATTCAAGCATGCATTTGTTCCCAATACCGGCTTAAATCCGATATTGCTACTAATGCCAATTTTATTAAGTAATTTCAAAGCCTAGTAGTGCGTCAACTAAGATAGTATAAAATTGTCGTAAAATTAAAATAAATTTGATAAAGTAATGCTTGCATGTATTTTGATCAGCGACATAGATTGACGAAAATGGTAAAGTAATGCGAAGTACACAACGGTTAAATGTGATGATTTTGACCTGGCCCTGCATAAAATAAAAACTTTCCATTTAGTATTATTAAGTTATTCATTGTGCACACAGACGCTAAAAATGCATTTTCGGCAACCATTAGTTTTTTTGGTTGATTTGAAGAAATCTGCTGGCGAAGCCTATCAAACACTGTTAGAAGCTGGTGATGAATTGTTGGTTCTGTGGTGGTTTTGATGTCAATGACAAAGAACCGCCTTGAGAACCAAAAGAATTCGAGGACAATAAATTGCAAAATTTATTAAATGGAAAGCCTGATCAAACTCTCTTAGCAGTTGATGAATAAACTGTCTTTACATGCGACGAGAAAGATCCAAAAAGGAGGGAAAATACCAACTATTGACTAAAATTGTAATTTCTAACCATTTCAACATTGTGTTTTTAGTGCTTGCAAGCGCAAGAAATCATGGGTTAGTCCAGGAGAACTATACCCATCGGCACCTAAACGGAATATTCATGGCCATAAAGTTTTGCTATCCATATAGTGGAATCAGCAAGGTGTAGTGTATTAGGAGCTTCTAAAGCCAAATGAAACAGTTTGTGCAAATCTCTACCGAAGTTAGTTGAACAAATTGAACGACGTCACACGAGCGAGAGCTGTTAACCGGATACGGTTGTCATCCTCTTACATGACAACGACATAGAAAGAATCTCTTCCATCATTTAGACATGAGATTGTTAAAAAAAAAGAAGGAGTTATTTAAAAAAAAAAGACGAGAACTAACAAATGGGAGTATTGCCGATTATGCTTTACATTTGGATGAATTTTTTCAGTTGATATTGCAACCCTCTCCACGGGATCAAAATATTTAATCGATGATTGCCAAGTTCACGATCATCGATTTAATTGGAAGTTTATGGTCTTCAAACGCTGCTCAATTATAAAATTTTGATTGCGGCATTCCTTCATCACCATAACGGTTTGAAAAGGGTTACGTTAAATTTCTTACTTCGCAAACCATTTTATCTCTTACACTGAGTTTAATAAAATTTCTTTGCCCAATAAAGAAATTTATTTCCTAAAATTCGTCGTTTGAGAGAATTTCCCAAGTTTACTAGGACCACCCTCTAGTTTACACACCAACAAGCCAAATAACGTTAACTTACTCCATTTATTTTTTTACTAATATTCGAAATGATAGAATGTTTCAAATGCAAATTCCCTTTATTTTTTGAACATAGTAGTCGCTGTTTTTCATTTAACCAACATTTCTTTGATGAAATTAAAAATATCTTAAAACCATGATAGTGAAAAAAGGTTTAGAAATATTTGTTACTTGTAGTATTTCAAGATATTTACGTTTTATTCTTAATTCGTCTTCTTTCGCTTAATAGCTTGTTTTAAGGCAAGGAAAGACTGAACTTGAACTTTAAATCTATTGCGCTGCAAACGTTTGACAAAATAAATAAAACCCCCATCGATCGGTGATGGGTACAAAAACTGGTAGTATAGCTTCGTGAAGGCAACCGCTGGCCGAAGAGCGGATTTAAGACTGAAGACTATTCGAAAATTTCTTTCGGCAAATGAATTATACATTTTCTGACCGCGTGTAGAATATGGTATTTAAAAAAGTAGCCTTTTGTACCATTGCCGTGTATTAGAGTAAAAAAAGTTGTATTTTTCATCAAAAAAACCAAATCTTTTATCAAAAAAAGGTTTTTTAATTATCTTATTCCTCCGATATTCTGCGATTAGATGGTGCGGAAATTTCTTGCGGTTTTTCCCGACATTAGGTCAAAATAACTTGTTTAAGTTAGCTGCACAGGTAATCAGTTTTAAAGGTATATACAGTTACGTTTATTTTGTAAAAATCTTCCAAAGTGGCAGATTGTTCTTCTTCTAGTATTGAAGCATAAATTTTAAAATCGAAGCCGGCATATAAACGCATAGAGATATATGTGCTCTGTGCGGGACTAATGCTGTAGCAGAACGCACTTGCCAAGCTTTGCTTGCGAAATTTCGTTCCGGAAGGCTTTCGCCTTCCCGTAGGCCAAGTGAATTTGATGGCGATCAAGTAAATGTTATGATTGCAGTTGATCGACTGAAAGCGATTCGTGAGATTGCAGAAAAACTTAACTCATCCAAAACAACTGCTAGTGACCGCAATGCTTTTAAATAACCATAAACGCTTTCTAAAGGCGTTTGTTGGCGAATTGAAGAAGTAAGATACGCATAGATCAGATAAGATGCAACTTCCCGGTTGATAGTCATTTCTCACAGTTATATTATAGAAATATTTTATTTTAGGTATGATTTTTCTGTCCGTATTCTAGAAAGCGGAAGGCATCTCCAACTGGCCAATAAAGAATAAAAAAATATTTGCGGAAAAAGTACAGTAGCCCTCGCTCCTGTATATGTACACTTATATGGAACTTGTTTTACTCGCTGAAAAATAGTTGATAAAACAAAGCAAATACCTTGATTTTATAGGTCGTTCTATTTCTTAGTCATGACTAAGTGGCATGGTAAACTTTCCGCAACCCCTAAAACTAGGTAGAAACAACCCCTATTCTAGTTGAATTTACTTGCATTTGCGGACGTAGGTATGTAAGCGCATAAAACGGATTGCAATAAATTCGCTCTTTGAAGGATAATTTTCAACCAATGAAAACAACATTTTTTTTTCTTTTTTTGTATAATTGTAACCCATAATAATAACCGAAAATATTTGATAGATGGTATAAATCAATTTTAATAT